GAGACCTGGGTTGGGGCCACCCCCTCCCCCCTGCCCCTGCCAATGACCCCAGCTCCGTGGAGACTGGCCTGGCCTGGCCTGCCCCACGCTTGCTTTGGACCTGCCTCAATCAGAGTGGACTGAGACCCACATGTATAGCTCTGGCCCTGGGCTGCTCTGTGCCTGCTTGCGATGAGTGGTGGTTGTGACGACGGCTGACTCGTGGGCACAGACTCCAGGAGGCCATAGCATGAAGGGCCCAGTAGTGGTGAGCGGGAGGTGGCCACTTTTCCCTGTGCACAGCAGCAGCTTCTGCCAGGCCACTGCCACTACTTATTGTGGGCGGGCTGGTCCTGCGCAGGCACAGGGAAGGCTGGAACCAGAGTCAGGTTTGTGTGCATAGATCCTGGCTGGTCCAGAGCTAGTCTGATCCAGCCGAGGCAAGTCCAGACTGGGTGTGGGGTGACCCAGGGCTGGGGCTGTGTGGTCAGCTGCTGCTGGGTCTGGTGGGGGGTAGCAGTGGCAGGGAGGAGCCACAGGGCATGTGGGCTCCAGGTTTGGTGAGCAAAGGGGGAGGGGAGGAGTTCTGACTGGCTGGCAACAGCTCCCCAAAACTGCCTATGTGGCCTGCAGCCCCAAATAATTGCCCACCCCTGTACTAAATGGACGACTTATTGTTTAGGCCAGGGGTTGACAACATTTTGGGGCAGTGCCAAAAACACCCACAACCTCGACTCGTAAGATGTTGGTGTGCCAGGGGCAGACAGTAGGGGAGCCATGAGTGGCCCAATTCTTGTTATGGCAGCACAGCCCTGACCCCTTCCCTGCCATCCAACCCAAGGCACGAGTGCCAAGCAAGATGCCTTCGAGTGCCAAGCAAGATGCCTTCAAGTGCCATACTCTTGACACCCGTCCCGTGGGTTGCCTATCCCTGCTTTAGGCCCATAAGCAAGTCAAATTTGGAAGGATTTAACCTCACATATATACCTATTGGATAATATGGTCCCATAATATAGTAAAGTTATACAGTCAGACGGTATTGATTTAGCTTGTCCTGCAGTGTATATACAGTCATTTTAAAGTTGCTTTGTTTAAATATATTTATAGTAATACATTTGATTTGGAGCCAGAAACTTTAAAATAACCATATGAAACAAAGCATGGTGAAAATCTTTGATAGATCATACAAATATCCCTACAGTTAAATACTTTAGTTTTCATTTTAGGTGGAAACCTATGGTTCAATGGAAAAAAAGGAACGGGTGGAATTTATCCTGGAGCAGATGAGACTCTGTTTGGCTGTAAAAGACTACATTCGGACCCAAATTATCAGCAAAAAAATTAACACCAAATTTTTCCAAGAAGAAAACACAGAGGTAAAATGGATGTGTTTTTTGGTTTGTTTTTTTTCCCCCCTTCCCTACTTTAGTCTGTGGTGTGCTTTCTGTTCAGGCTTAAGCATGCTTTTATATGTCAGTTATTGAATTCTAATTAGGTATAGTACATGAGATAGTGGATCTATATTAACTTGACACTGTTTGTAATTGTTCCAGAAATTAAAGTTGAAATACTACAACTTAATGATTCAGCTGGATCAGCACGAAGGTTCCTACCTCTCCATTTGTAAGCACTACAGAGCCATTTATGATACACCTTGTATCCAGGCTGAAAGTGAGAAGTGGCAGCAGGTAAAAACAATACAAATAAATTTGCTATAATTCCATGGGTCAGAAATCCTATTTAATTGCAGAAGCCTGTTAAACTTGAGCATGTATTATACCAGGGGTGGGCAAAATGCGGCCTGCCAGGCCATTCCATCTGGCCTGCGGGTCCCCTAAAAAATTTAGAAAATTAATATTTATCTGCCTCTGGCTGCCTGTCATGTGGCCCTCAATGGCTTGCCAAAACTCAGTAAGTGGCCCTCCGCCCAAAATAATTGCCCGCCTGTGTATTATACAGTTCATCCTGCTGTTGTTGCTTAGAGCATATCAGAGTACGTTTAATCAAAACATTAACAAATTGGGTACATAAGGAGGAATATATAATAAAGCTAAGCTACTAATTAATATTAATTAAAAGCCACTATTTGCATGAGGAAAATAATAATGTATGTTTGATTGTTTTTTTTAATTGAATGTGACTTGATTTTTCTTCATTATATAAGGGGATGTCTAGAAACAATTTGAACAACTACGTTTTGAACAGTAATTTTTTGGAATTAGCTCTGAAGTTGTGAACACAATGTAAATGCTTCATAACTCAGGATTGTTTTCCTGTCAAAATGACAGCATTACAAATTTCAATTAACCTGAATATATTTTTTACCTCACAATCAAAATGTAAATGTTTTAATTTTACCCTAGTTCCTTTAGAAATGTGGCTTGAGCCTTATAGAATGTGTATCAGATTACATGTACAGAAGATTAGCTGTGCCTACCTTGCAAGCTGTGTTTACTTTTGAATTATTTTTCTGTTATTAAAAAAACAACGTAACGGTTCTTTCCCTTTGAATAGGCACTGAAGAGTGTTGTTCTGTATGTTATTCTTTCACCTTATGACAATGAACAGTCTGATTTGGTGCACAGAATAAGTAGTGACAAAAAACTAGAAGAAATCCCTAAGTATAAGTAAGTATATCTTTTGCATACTTCATTCTTGCAAGAAAGTTATTCTTACAGTAACCCTGAAGGTAAAGTGGATTCAGATGCCATGAGCTTATTGTAAACATCTTGTAAAGTTAAAATAATTTTGGGAAAAAAACATAAAGTTGTTTCTGAGAGTGGTTCAATTCATAATATGAATGTTGCATTATGACACAAATGCATGTATTTGTGCCATATTGGAAAGTTCCGTGTTATGCACATAATATAATCTGTACTGCCTCTATTTTGTAATAGCCAAGTAATACTGTGAGCCTAACATTCGAAGGACGGCCTCTATTTGCCATTTGTGACGCTGTTTATGTATAGGCTGTTTCAGTTTGCAGATCCTTTTTGCATGAGTGCATGTAATAGACATCAGGTCTGGATTAGAGTTAATCATTACATTTTATTTTTTGTACTTTAAAGTGTACATGCAGTTTTTGCAAACAGAGCTGCAGATGAATATGAGAGATCCTATTGATGAGGTTTCCTTCTAAATTCAGCTCAGTCTCTCTCTCTTGCTAACCCATATCCTGTCACCTGCGTACTTAGAATCGCATAGGTTTAATAGATGTGAAATGGGACCATTCCGATTCAGTGGAATGTATTTGCACAGATATGGAATTGACAAACTACACAGCCAGTAGAAATTTGAATTTGCAAACAGTGCAAAGTGCAGTGCAAACAGTTCATCAGCAAAGGAGAAAAATATATTACAGGAAAACATTTAAAACATGATAGGAACATAGGACTGAAATGGATGTCCAGTGTAAGTGTCTAGTGTCTTGGGTATTTTGCCCACAGTCCTATTACTGGAAAAGTGAGGGTCCATAAGAGACATATAATAACTAGTCATTTTTATCTAATTTCTATCCTAATGGATACAAAGTACCCAGAAATACAATGCCAGCATTGTCCCCTGGCTTAAATGATTGTTTTCTCTTCCTCATGGTTTTTCATAGATTCATAGATGTTAGGGTCGGAAGGGACCTCAATAGATCATTGAGTCCGACCCCCTGCATAGGCAAGAAAGAGTGCTGGGTCTAGATGACCCCAGCTAGATGCATATCCTTGGTTGTTTCTCCCTCATGTACTTACTACGGAGTTTGGCTGATTAATGGGGATAACACTGAACTTTTTGCTAGTGTATTTGTATTCCGGCAGGATTTTAAGTGTAAAACACTGAGTTGTTTGCTATGAGACAGTAAAGTGGCTTTGCTAAACTGTTTACAGGGATCTTTTGAAATTATTTACCACTATGGAATTGATGCGCTGGACCTCCATAGTTGACGAATATGGAAAGGAGTTGAGAGAAGGATCTCTTGACAGTCCTGCTACCGATGTGTTTGGTTATACAGAGGAAGGTGAAAAGAGATGGAAAGACTTAAAGAACAGAGTTGTGGAGCATGTAAGTACAACTGACTGTTTAAGCATTCTCCATATAGACAGGTTTGGAGTTACAAAAGATGTGTTTCTCCTTTTAATGTAAGAGGGAAAGAAATTAGGGTACAGAAATGTGAAATGCGTACCAATAATGGGAGCGAAACAACAGAACTGTTGAAAACGAATGCAATGCTTAAATTTTCAGCTTACACAGGTTGTTAGCTGTACTCTGAAATGTTGGTTAGGACAGAAATTTAAGAAGAATGTTGTATTGTATTAAATCAGTAATTAGTGGCTAACTTTTTTTAGCTAGTCTGGGAGATGGAGGCAGTGTTTTAGCTTAGCAAAAGAATATTTTGTGTTCAGAAGAAAGTCCTCTTACTGTTTGTTTGCATACCTTATGGTGGATAAGCCATTACAGCAATGCAATTCTAGTTTGTTTTTAAAAGTGTCTTCTGTAGTTTTGCAGCGTGATTCAATTAAACGTTCACACACAACCCTCATAACCCTGAACACTTTTATTCCAGAATATTAGAATAATGGCAAAATATTATACCAGAATTACAATGAAGAGAATGGCACAGCTCCTGGACCTATCTGTTGATGTAAGTGTCATCTAGGATATCTTATTTTGTTATAAAGAAATGTAGGCTAGGTAAAGAAATTGATATTTAACTCAGAATAGCGTTCTGAGTTTATTTGCATTTTATAGGCATTTTTAACACTATATACTAAGTCTCACGTCAGAGAATGATTGGAAGAGCCATACCTACAATGCAGAAAGAGAAGTTAGTATTTTAGAAATACAACACTCTTGATAAAGAATCTGAAGGCATGCACACTTACATGTTTTCTATGTATTATTCTTATAATCCTCCATGTAGAAGTAATGTTCTCACAGTCTCTTGGACATTGCCCCAGTGTAACCAAAGGTTTCTAGTTACTAACACCAGAAACAAAGTGTAAAAAAAGAATATTAATTATACTTAAGTTTACTGAAATCTCTAAGGGGTTAACAGTAAATTAGGATTTTTTAAAATTAGGATATTTTTAATTTTGCCTCTGATAGTGAAAATACGGACTATACATTGCATATATGCCTATCCAGGGATTAGAATGGAATGTTATAATTCACACAGTGTTCAAAATGATAGGAAGTAACCAGGAAGTAAGGAAAAAACAGATGCTAAAATTCCTTCAGATTCAAGACTGTAACTAGATTCTGTATCCCCTGTGCTGTAATCTATTGTAAAAGGCTGTAAACAAACGTGATTACATCCGACTTGTTACCTTTCACTTTCCTGTTTGAATTTTCCAAATGGATTTACATTTCAGAGTATGTGGCATTAAGAGGGGAAAAACCATACACACACTTAACAGTATTTCCCTAAATATCTGATGACTTGCCTCTATATAACAGCACCATTTTAAATGAGCAGTTCTTGGCATGGTCATGCTATTTTGTACAGTCCGCTTTATATTGAATATTTGTGCCCAGATTAGCAGTAGAAAGTATATTTTAGAAGTTATTTAGCCAAATGCTCCAAATGCACAGGAGGCTTTTTGGTCTTATAGTCTGAAAGTTTACAATTCATGCAGCTCAAAATGGGACTAGTTGTCGTTTTTATTGTAGTTGATATCAGGAGTTTATTGACCTTTTTGTTTAATAGTTGCAACGTAATCTCAGTTGTTACAATGTAATGCAACATAGTAGTTACACCGTCATATTTTAATATTATGCATAATATTAAAGTATTATGTCCATTGTAAGTACAGTACTATAGCAGAGTGTACTGATGTAAAGGTTATACTAGATAGTTGTTTGGAAATTTGGGAAGAACATCTGATGTCTTTTGTTACAAATGCTGTAATCCTGATTTAGTGCTGTTTGTCTCCTTTGCAGGAATCGGAGGAGTTCCTGTCCAATCTAGTCGTAAATAAGACTATCTTTGCTAAAGTAGACAGGCTGGCAGGAATTATCAATTTCCAGAGGCCAAAGGACCCAAATAACTTACTCAATGACTGGTCTCATAAGCTCAACTCATTGATGGCCCTAGTTAACAAAACCACACATCTCATTGCCAAAGAGGAGATGATACACAACCTTCAGTAAGGTGCCTCAGTAATGTTAATGCTTTTAAAGAAGGCATTCAAACTTGATAAGAGACTATTATTTCAGTGTGTATATGTTTTATTTTCTCCCTCTTTCCCATTCCTCCCCCTCACCCCTGCCTGCTTCTGCCCTGGGTCTAAGATTTAGAACGTAAATAACTCATAAAACCTTGTTGACAATTAAGTACCCTGAATATTCACTTAATTGTTTAAACATTTTTACTACAATTGGTGAAAGAATATAATAAAACTGTATTGCCTGTGTAATCAAAAATAGTCTTGTGATTTATCCCAGTATTTTTTGGAAATGTTTAGATACTTGCCATCATCCACATAACAAATATTTCTGCACTTATTTCTTTACATGGCCATTTGTTTTTGCAGTTTTGAGTGGCGATTATATTGTTAAAAAAAGGCAGGTGTTTTACAAATAAAATGTACCAGCATAACTTAAATACTTTTAATGTGGTGTCAAACGTCTAATTTGTTCAACAGCCAGGACATTCAGAAATTGTGTTGAAGCCTCCTGTCTCTTTTGTGTTTCAGTATTGCGGGAGTATTAGAGCATGACTTAATTTTGCAAAGCCCAGGTTTCTTAGCCATAACTCTATAAATGTCCTTGTTTTTTTATGGGTATAGGTCAGATCCTATTTTACCTATGGTGTGACTTTTAATTTATAAAAGAGAATACCAGTACTTAATTATCTAACTTTGTAGTTCCAAATTCTGTTTTCAGTTCATTTTTGTCTTATATTTTAAACAAGACCACTTTTGTTAGCTTGAACTGCTATTAAAATTAAAATAAAAAATCTTCAAGATTAGGAGAAATGCTGCAGGACTGTATATAGAATCAAAGATATTGAAGTGTGTCTATTTCTGGAAGTCTACAGTGACTCAAAAAATGGCACACTTAGATTGTCATACTTAAAATTATATATTTTTCCCTTGTGAGGTATGTAGTTCTCAAATAAAATAGGGCAACATTTGAACATCTAGTTTTAGTATTAGTACAAGATTATTTTCAATATTGTTTTGGTCTCATTAATAATTGCACAAGGAGTCTAAAAGGGGAACAATCAGGCTAAAAATCCTTTTTTTTAAATTGCATGTTACAGTATCTAGATACTAAAATAAAAAGTGGCTAAGGTCTGAATTTCCTTTTTATCATTTATGCTGTTACTACTTTCATTTGGCTTAGTGAAAATAGAATCATTTCACTTTGTGTTGGCTCATCTGAACCCAAAAATATGAGGTAGGGATATTGCATAAGAGTATTTGAATTCAATCAAACAGTTTTTTTTATTCTGAGCATTTTTAAAGCTTGTAAGTAATGCTGTTTTTTATATATGGTTCCTTATAAATCATAATTGGGGCCTAAACTGCCTGACTATCCCTGTAATATGCTACCAAGCAGGTCTTAAAAAATCCAGATGCTTGGGTATCACTACTTGTGAGAGAGCTATTTTTGCATGTGAAATTCAGTTCATTTTGGATTTATTCATTTTTATTACTAACCAGCAAAATCTTTTTAATGTATTTGTAGTGTTGTCCTTCTGTCTTTCTGCTAGTGACAAAACATCACTCTGAATACTGTACATCAGATAGGAAGGCCTGATCAACATCAGTTGATGCAGCAATTATTTTATATTTTGTGAAGAGAAGGCTACAGGACAGTATTGTAGAGGAAGTGTGGTATGCTGAAAATCAAATGTGGCTGAGCAGATTTGGAGGTTCTTCTTAATTCCAAACACTAGATACATTGATCAGTTGTATAAAAACTGCTTTTTACAGATTTCTTATAAAGTTGTTTCAAGAAAATATGTGCTTCCTTTTCTAAATTGATCCCAGGACTCTTAGGGTGCCTGTTAGGGCTGTGCAAAGCTTCTGGTGCTGATTCAATTTGGAGGAGATTCAGCCCGATTCAGTGGCCGAATCGAATCAGGAGACCAATAAAAAGGTCAGAATTTTTTCAAAGCTCTCCAATTCAGAAAAGGTTCAGAGAGCTTTGGAAATTCAGGCAGTCCCTGTTTGCTGCCACAGGGAGCTGGACACAGACTCCATGCCGATAAGTAGGGGGGTGGGGGGAAAAGGGGGCTGGAGGAAGGGGGAGGTGAGCTTGGAGGAACCCCTGCTAGGCCCCATCCCCTGCCCGCTGTCCCAGCCCCATCAATGAGTGCCCTGCCCAGCCCCAGCTCCTGGTTTTTGTTTTGTTTTTTTCTCTTTTAAAAAGAAGCCCCCCACTGCCCCACACTGCGTGGGGGGCTCTGCCATGAGCCCCCAGCCCCTGCCTGCTCTCCCAGCTGCCCCCCTCAATGGCTGCCCTACCTGTCCCAAGCTCCTGGCTTTAAAAAAAAGAAAACAAAGAGTCCCGCACTCACCAGCTGCTGCAGTGGCTGTCAGGGCTTCTGGGGGCTCCTAGCTCCCATGTAGCATGGGACGTTGTGGGGCAGCAGAGAGAGCCCCCCTGCCTGGCAGGAGCTGGTAAGTGCGGGGCTTTTTTATTTATTTTTTTTTTTTTAAAGAATCAGGAGCTGGGGCCAGGCAGGGTGCTGGGGGAGTGGGCAGAGGATGGGGGCTCGTGGCAGAGCCCCCTACACAGCAGGGGGCAGTGGGGATGGCGGCGGCTGGTGAATGCCCCCCTTTTTTTTTTTTTTTTTTTTTAAAGAGCCAGGAGGCTGGGGCCGGGTGGGGCAGCCATTTATGAAAAAGGGGCCTGTTGAATTCGGCAGTGGCTGAATCTCCGAATCAGATTTGGCTGAATCAATTCGAGACGGTGATTCGAATCACTGAATCGAATCGCTGTCCCCCAAATTGGCCAAATCTGAATCCAAAGCGAATACTAGCTGTTTCGTACAGGCCTAGTGCCTATACATGAACACAGAGGCTCCTCTGACATGCTGTAATTACAGTATGCTAGAGCAGGCTTGATTAATCAAGTCTGCTGGAGCATGGTAATTACTGTGCTCCAGCCAGCCTCTGCATCTCATGTATTGGCATCCCCATGCTTCAAAATGGCAATGGCAGCGCTTGAACTAAAGTTCATTGAGTAAGACACTTGTACACAAGACGCTGTGGTGCTTTAGAGTGGACCTCTCCTTTACCCCCAGAGCACATGTAAAAATGCCTGTAATTCCAGTGCAAGTCCGGCACTCATAGGTTGATTGAGGGAGAATTAAGTTTTGCACACATCTTCTCTGTTATCAGAAATGGGTTCTCTTTGTTGCATTAACACTTATGCCAAAAATGCACAAATTGTCGATTGAGCTTAGCAAGTGGACCATGACAACAAAAAACATTCAATTTTGGCATTTTTAAGGCAGATGATATGAGCTGTTCCCTATGCATTATATGCTTGCACTTACCTGTACGATAACCTAAATTTATCATGCTTCTGGAAAGACAAATGGATGATACTTCATTTGAATTTAATTGCCATAACTCTGTCATTAGCTACAGTCATGAACTATTAATATATCTTATCCCCAGCCCAGCTCTTTAGCATTATTAAGTGTAAAAAGCTTCATTCATTCTTGCTTAGTTCAACTTACAGTTCTGTATTGTATATAATAAGATGCTATTTCTGTTTCTCAACATCAAGACAATTTAGTATAGCTTATCTGCTAATTTGTTTTTCCAAATGTATAGATGCATACAGATCAGGAAAATTTTAATCCTTTGATAGTTAATGTAAAATTCATTTTGTCCCAGCTTTCAGCTGGTGATTTTCATCCCTTGACATCCAAGGGAAGTGGTGCTGGCTCCTACCCTGGGGGTCTTTAAGAAGCGGCTCGATGCCTACCTGGCTGGGGTCATTTGAGCCCAGTTTTCTCCCTGTCCAGGCAGGGGGTTGGACTTGAAGATCTACAAGGTCCCTTCCAACCCTACTTCTATGATTCTATGATCTAAAGAGCAAGAAGAGGTAGTAATCCATTAAACCTTCAATTAATATGCTTAATGCTGATGTATTATCATCTATAGAAAACAAATGCAGCCCTTTTCCCCCACCATTTAAGTTCACATATTCACTGGATCTTGTAACAAAGAACTACCTGTTGAGAACTAACATACGTTTCTGGGGCTGCCCTTGACTGATTGATTAATTTGTCCATGAGTCATTAATGAAGAGTAGAATTTATATATAAAAAACTCTTTTTTTTAAAAGCAGATTGAGCTTGAGTCAAGTTTATACCTCCAGCCCCTAGTAAGATATATCAGTTCAGTAGTTACTTTAGGTAGCCTTTTGAGTGGGGAATGGTTTTGTGAGGACAAGAGAAGAGAAACCAAAATGGTTAAAAGCCATTAATTTAATTGATTTTACATTTGGGATGGAGACCCTAGGTCTTTCCTGACAGACACTGGAGACCACCACTGTAAGAGAGGAGGAAGCGTGGTGTGGTCAGTCAGGCTCTTCAAAGGCACTAAAGCAGTGGCAGTTAGGCAGGTGATGGCAGCAAGATATCTGAAATTAAAGACTGACTCACTGAGATGAGAGAAAAAAATCATGAGCTGTCTAGAAGTGAAGGATTTCATTGCAGCTGGCCAAAGGTATATCTTAATATTTCCAAGGTATTTGAGGCAAGGAATGTCTTTTTGTGCTCTGTTTGTACAGTCTCTCTCGCAATGCGGTCCTAATCCATGACCGGGGCTGCAATATAAATAGTAATAGGTAGTGCCATTTCTTTTAATCAGATCTTTGTTTCATATCATGTCGAATGCTTGAATCTTAAGCATGTCTATTTTCAAACTTGCACCAGTCTTAACCAGAGATGTGTGGCACTTTTCTTTTTAATTCCATAAGCTGGATAGACCCCCAAGAATACATGGAATGTGTAAAATTTGGTAGAGGCATTTATACACTTGGGTTTTTTTTAATTTCCTCAAACCATTTAGAGTGTTAAGCTTGTTGGATATTAAAATTGCAGATTGCTCATTGCCTTTGAAAATCAGACCAAGGACTCTCAAATTGGGCACCTAAAATCAGTGGCCACAACTGAAAACTTTAGCTTTTGAACTTGAGGGATAAACCTCCAGACTGTTCCCCCACTATGACTTCTATTTGGGGTAGTAGAAAACACAGCTGTCTTCATTAGAAGTAGGAAGTGCAGTTCAAAATAAGATGACTCTATACCTGTCAAGGCTTTTGATACCATCCAGAAAAGCTTTCCTTTCTCACCTTATAGAGGCAGATGTTTGTAATGAATGCTGGAAAGGAACTAGTATGTTTGGGTGTTTGTTTATTTTAAAGAATGTGTGTATATTTTAGGGAAAAAATTAGAACATGCATATAAATATGGAAGTTGGGCATTGCAGTTGCAATCAAGGATGTATCTCAAGCTCCCATGTTGGCACCTTTAAGTGAACAATTGCCACATCAGTAATTACGGTGAATTGATAAACACTGGCAAAGGTGGTATGCAGTTTCCAGCCACAATTTAAAACATGGCTTGATCGCTAATTTATAGGCCTAAATCAGTTGATTGGGAATAGGAACAATAGGTTGTAATACTGTTAGGAAGCAATAAATACCTAGCCTAAAACACTCCTAAAGTCATTCTCTTTCATCCATCCCCTTTCTCCACTCAGTGTTCTGAATTGCTAACTGAATGCCTTCTTTTCTGAAGAATAAAAGATACCATACATTTCACGTACATACACCCTCAAATATAATACACACTTTGTTTTTGAAAGATAGAATTTAAAAAAAATAACGTTTTTTTCCCCAGGATTATGGCTGCATAGAGCAGGGACTGAGTGTAATCTTCAGGTGATTCACCCTTCCTTTCCTCCATAACTAAAGTTGAATCCCTAGCTGCTCCTGAACACTGGTCTCCATGTGAGAGAGATGATTTTTGAAATGAGCTAATAAATAAGCTGTGAAATAGAGATCAGGAGCAGCTAGGTGATAGCAAAATGGCTCGAACAAAGGGAGAGAGGTTAGTTTGATTAGTGGAACATGGAGACCATTAAAAAGGAGAGATTATTGTCAACATCTGTAGAGTGAAGAACAATGAGCCATTAAGTTCATTGACTCTCAGCACCCTGAACAGTAATACCACAGCTGCTGCACTGTACAGCCGGAATCAAACCAGGATGTTTCCCACCGTAGGCAGAAAATCAGCTTCCTTGCTTCATGTACACACCCCAATTTTGGGGTGTTGAGTTTTGGGGAAAAAGGTGCGTGCTGTAAATATGGTACTTGACACAGTTATTCTTGCAATCATGTACTTTTATTCCTTTTTGGTCAACCTGTGAACTGGAGCCCTCTGCTATCCCTTTTAATAGAGAGGATGCCTGTACTAACTTTTCAGGCTTAGAGAAGATGAAAGGGAAGCCGTCAACCTTTTTATAGAAACAGCGGTGTGTTTTTGGCTGGGCCTGTAGACTCAACCTCAGATGTACACATTAAATCTTGCAGATTCTTATTCAGAGCTAGTTTAATTGTTTAGAGAAGCACAACATTTAAATGAGGAGCAAGCAACATAAGACTCCTAGCAGAGTTTTCTAAATATATCAGATGATATTTTTTTTCAATGTTCTCTCAATTCTATGCTCAAGGCCATATTAGTTTTTATTAAAAAAACAAACAAACATGTTTTTTCTGCAGTAAGATCAAGTCATTTGTGCTGTGTAGCTTAATCCCTGTGTCGCTGCTGTGTGGTCCCCTTTCAGACTGCTTGAACTTCCTTTTTCTGACCTTTTAAGCTAAGGTAGAAAGTATCCTGTGATGGTGTGGATGGATTGGAAGCAACCAGGACATAACTCAATGGTGTATATTTTGGTCTTCTGTAATTGTACTGCCACTGTCATCTCAATTTATTATGTGAATCTGGGGAAGAAAAAATAAAGGACATCAGAAAATGATTAAGGCTTACAGGGTCTTGCCTCTGCATGTTCACCTTGTAGAGAGAGATTATATGGCCAATATCTTTTTATCTTCTTCTAAAATAATCCATGTGTGTCTTTATTTCAGAGATTTTTTTTTAAATAAGATTTCTAAACTCAAGCTAGACAAGCTGCAAATTCTGGTACATGAACAAGAAGTCAGTTATTTCAGTTCTATTAGAGAATTTTTCATTTGACGACCATGAACACTAGCGATTAAAGACCCTTTTTTACTTCTTATTTATGCAATATGGTAGGATTATTTTTAACCCTCATTTTAGCATAATGCACATGTAACTTTTTATGCATGAGTGTGTATTCACTGTAAAATATACTTTCCGTTCTCTAATCGAATAACGGTGCCCACACAGTTGGTAGCACAGTGACAAAATGAACATGCTGAGAAACACTTTAAGGGCAAATTTCACAGTCTGACTTGTTGAAGAATACATTTGGCACTGTATCAGCTGGAACACTTAAATAGCTGTGACTCGCCCCTGCACATGCATAACAATAAACATGAAATTCCTTCTTTAGTATCAACATGAAGACTCACATTGTGTCTACTGTTAAATTAGACACTAAAGAACAAGCTGGAGTATGAGCCCAGGGGGGCAGGAAGTGATTGCTGGGTACTTGAAATTGCTATCTTAAATAGAACCAAGAAGAAGCGCTCCTTTCTGTGTAGAAGAGTTTAAACTTTTGAGGTAGAGGTCTTTTACCCATCCAGCACGAGAGAATCTGGTGTCAGAGCACATCTACAAAGACAATTGAGTTATCAGTTAACTTAGAAACATCTATAAACAGTTTTATGATAGTTGTTAATCCATTTCTTCCTTATGCAATAGATTTGGAGGTGTGATTGGATGGCTTGGGGAACTGACAATTGTGTTCCTCAGCTTGCTGCTCACCTGTTTGACATGTTATCTAAATCTAGTAATAGATCCCTTGCTAAAGGAAGTTAATGCATAGGTAGTTTGTAGGGCTGTGCGAAGCTTCAGGTGCTGATTCGATTCAGAGAAGGTTTGGCCCAATTTGGCGGCTGAATCTCTGAATACATATCGAATCAGGAGACCAATAGAAAGGTGCGAATCGATTCAGAAAAGATTCAGAGAAAGATTTGCAGGGGTGTAGGTTGTAGCCGTGTTGGTCTAAGGACATAGGCAGACAAGGTTCCTTGGGTGAATCTGATATCTTTTATTAGACCAACCCAAATAGAGAAAGATTTGGAGATTCAGAGATTTGGGCAGTCCCCGCTTGTTGCTGCTGGGAGCTGGGCCTGGGTTCTGTGCTGGTAAGCAGGGGGCGGTGAGGAGGGGGGTTGGAGGAGGGGGGGGGACCGTGGGGGCCCCCCCTCCCCCCCAGGCCCCATCCCCTGCCTGCTCCCCGAGCCCTGTCAATGGCTGCCCAGCCCCAGTGTCCCGCCACTTAAAGAAAAAGCCCTGCACTCACCGGCTGCAGCAGTGGCCGTCAGGGCCTCTTGGGGCTCATGGCAGAGCCCCCCATGCAGTGGGGGGCAGCGGGAATCGCCTCCTGCCTGGCATCAGCCCATGAGTGTGGCCTTTTAAAGAGCGGGGATGCTGGGGCTGGGTGGGGCAGCCATTGACAGGGCTGGGAGAGTGGCCAGGGGATGGGGCCTGTTTGATTCGGAGATTTGGCAGTGGACAAATCTCCAAATCGGATTCAGCTGAATCGATTAGGGACAGTGATTTGAATCACTGAATCACATCACTATCCCCTGAATCAGCTGAGTCCGAAGCAAATACTAGCTGCTTTGCACAGTGCTAGTAGTTTGCATTTAAAAAGAAGTATGGCTCTCCTTTGATGTACTGTCAGACAAATATTCCCCTTCGAATTAATACCCCTCTTGGAATGGTCAGGAAAGACCAAGGGCTAATAGGGCACAGTCAAAACTACATGAAATGTCATCTCAAAAGGTTTTCCAGACCTTGGGCACATTAATTAAAGGGAGAGTGTATGCACTTGTAATTTAAACAGAGTGCCATTGGGTTTCAAAGGGCTAATACTCACGTTTAGAAAATATAGGACCGAAACTAGGCAATTTCTTCCTTCCAAGCTGTGAAGACAAATGAAGGGCAGTGTAGCCTTCACATCTACTCTAATGTGTCTTTGGAAAATAACAGGATGCCTTCTTGTTTCTTGTTGACCCTCCACTGCCTCTTTTTAGAGTTGTATTTGCCTTTCTCCATTTATCCAGCTCACTTTTTTTCTTCATTTATTTTTCTGGAGAGAAGAAAAAACAAGAAATCACTAAAAACAAATAGGTTTTTATTAGGATGCCCCAAACTGAAGGAAATAGGTTTTCATTCTTCTCAATTATCATTCCCAGTACTGTTATTTCTAAGTTGTTCCCCTCTTTAATTTTCCTTTTAACTATGGTCTCCTACAGAGTCTATGTTAAGCCCTGGACATTAGAAACTACAGCTATCAGAATCACCTGATTGGGTAGTTGAGCTTTAATGGTGCTTCATGTTCTCTGAAAGGCTGAGAGAGGGAGAGAAATGAGGTCTCTCTAGCCTGGTTGGTCTAGTTAAAAATGATTGGAGCAGAACTTGAGTTCACATTGACTTTACAAGGGAAGAAGTAGGCAACTAATAAAAAGGCCGGAATGTATTTTGTTTTCTTGAGAGCTGCAATTTTAGCACTGATAATAGCATGAAAAATGTTAATTACATCCCACCTATTTCTGGATTCACATGCTGCTTAATTTGAAGTATAGCACTAAACCATCCAACTACTGTGTTGCACTAACTATCTAACTACTTTGTTTAGATGTACTAAAATGTGCTATGAAAAATGAGTGTGTGCAGAACCAAAAAGTTAAGCATTTATAACCTGTTTTAATTCTTTATTTGATGAATAACGAATCTTATGGTAGTACTCTTACTAGAAGTAGCATCAAAGAACACTTTTGCTGCTCATTCACATCATATTGATTTCCTTCATCTTGTGCATTATTTATTTCCTATGTTAAATTATTTAATGATTATTAATAAAATGATTTTAATCATTATTATCTCATGCATAGTTAAAATTGTGTGGATGAGGCTGCTTACCGGTTTTAGAAATGATTCAGTACTGAAATTTAATAAAAATTTTGAAAGCACCTAAGCGATTTAGGCTCCTAGGTCCCATATTCAAAATGGACTTGGACTCTTAAGTCAGTTAAGACTTAAGGTAGGTAGATAGTTTTAAAAAATCCTATACCTTCCACTGATTTAAAAAATCTGGCCCTCTTACCCTACATAACTTTTAATCAAGGGCTTTTAAGGCTCTTTTTAAAAGTAATACTTTAATTATTTGGGCCTCGATTCAGGGAAATGCTCTATTTAGGACAGCACGTAAGCATGTGCTTAATATTAGAAATTAAGCACATGCTTAAAATGCTATTTTGTATAGGGATGGACTTAGACTTAAATGCTTTCCTGAATCTGAGCATTACTGGCTGGGTAAGATTTCAAGTGTTTGCTAAGAGCCCAGATCCAGACTTTCTTATGATTCCTTTGGAGCTTATCACTGCAGAAATGGGCTTGCCCTAATAAATATATTGTAGCTATTTACTGTTTGTATTAAAGGGTAGATGGCCAATACCAGTTGTATGGGAATAAAAGTTTCATCCAAAACACTTGTTTGCTATTGTGAAAAGTAATTGTTATCAAATAACAAACATCATTTTCTGTCCTTCCTCTTGCATTGTCACAGTTTGGGTATTTCACCGTGCTTGTGATCAGAGGCCCCCCACATTCATTTTCAGAGAAGCATCGCAGAAGGTGGGTGTGCGAGAGTTGTGTTCACTATGATTTGAGATCTGTAATCTTGACAATGACCTGGACTGTTAGAGCATTGTCCATCTTCTTTTACACGAGTCCTTTGAGGCCCCATATACAAAGGAGGACCCCATGATGTTTGCTGTACAACCATGTAGTAAGAAACGGCTCCTGCCTGAAAAAGGCACAGACAGAGAAAGGCAGTACCGTGCGGCAGGCGAAAAAGTGAGGCGCAGAGAAATGTACCAGTATTTCTTAAAGGTCACATCAGATGCCTGGCATAGCAGGGATTTGAATCCCAACAGCCAGTCCAATATGATTTAACCCTAAAAGCCAATAAAACCTATTTTATTATACTTGTGTTTTCAGTTGCTAAGTTATTCTTTGCTTCCTGTATCAAAACTTTTGCCTTGCTTTTGTCTCGGACGGCCAGGGCCGACTCGAGTTGCATTAGAAATTGGTCGTACGTTAGGGCGGGCTGGTGAATGGAGAGGCAGACACAACTTATTGGTTGCAAAAAAACTTTACTCACGCTGCTTGCAATCACGATGCAGGTGGTCCGGTCGTCTGAACAACCACACGAGTTGTTCCAGCTGGCGGGGCCCAAGCCCG